AGAATCTTTCCCTTGATCAACTCTACTAATTTCTTTTAAATAGTCAAAAAATCAGTGCTATAGAGATAAAAAAAAAAAAAATACAATACACATGAAAGTTTTTTCGCAAAGCAATCATACTTTTTGTACTTTACAACGTTTCGACAAATGTTTCTAAACTTGACATTGATTTTTTTTTTCAAACAGGAAACAAAGTTGAGTTTCAACTCTCACATTTATAATATAAATTTTAAACATTTAGTATTTCAAAAATATATTACATTATCATAGTTTAACATTTATAACAAAAAAATGTATACACTTTGGTGAATCAAAAGTAAAATTGTTTCCCCATTTTAACCATATATAAGAAATTTCATAAAATATATAGAATCAAAATTAAATGGCAAGCATATATACTATAAAAAGCTTACCTATTGGATATTAAGAGCTTTCTCATCTTTTTTACTTTGTCCTTGCAAAGCATAAACAACCTCTCAATCTCTGCCAACAATAATTTAATATTTAACTTAAAATTAAAATTTCAAATTAACAAATAATCCTTTAAAATATACAAAATCAAAACTAAATAATAAATATATATGCTATAAAGTGTTTACCTTTCACATATCAAGAACCCTCTCATCTTTTTTCCTTGTTCCTACAAATTTTGAGAAATTTTTCAATATCCATCAATAATAAATTTAATATTTAATTTAAAACTAAAAACCCAAATCAAGGAATGTTAAAAACTTGTAAAAATAAAAAAAATAGAGATAAAAAAGATAAAAATGCTCTTTTGTCAAATCCAAAAATGTCATGAACTAAAAATAGTCCATCAACATTGATCTAATTAGAATCTTTTCTCTTCACCTCTATCCTAGAATTAATTCAAAGCTTGAGAAAAGTCTTTCAAAAACTCAAAAAAAGGAAAAAAGTTCTAACACAAACTTTTTGCTTCATTTCTTTTTTATCTAAAAGACAGAACAAAAAAATTCAATCTCTTAATCATAGAAAAAAAATCTTACCCATCCACCTTTTTTTCAATTTTATTATTTGATCTAGTTCGAAGTGTCAAATGATTCAGTGTATTGAAAGATTAGGTGCACGTGGCCGAACCGGGTTCTTTGACAAGTTTATCCTAATTATACACAATAATCAAGGTTGACTTATAAACAACATGTATAAATACTTTATCAATCTTTAGAGAGAAATTATGGCAATATATATCATTTTGAATAATAATGAAAAAAAATCAAGAATCTAACCTTATAAGCAATGATCCTAGAACTACACCACTATAATTGAAAGCAGTTATCATATTTTTAACTTGCATGTGAATAAGAAAATATTATCACTTCATTCATGAATGTACACTAAAGCAATACAAGCTTGAAATGATGAAAATAAAAGCTATATATGACTTGCAAACTTTATATTCAATTGAAACTTAAATAACATCTCTGATAAGCCAATGTAGGTTCACTAATTAGAAAAAGTCAAACAATAAAAAAAGGTTCTCATTTTCCTCATAAATTCTTTCTTTTTTTCGTTCTTTCACTTATCTATCTCCATCTCTTGCTAGTTGCTATATCAATCTCTCTTTTTTATTCTTTTATCCTTATTATTTATGTGATATGTATCTTTTTATTTTTTTATTTTTAAATATTATGCTTTTATCTTAAAAAACTCAAATTCACACATGTCAATTTCATAATACCAAATTGCAACATAAATTAGCATACAACATCACACGTATTAATTTACAAGTTTTCATGTGCCAGCATAATATCACTTAAGTCAACTTTACATTTATACCTTACTTAAAAAACACAAAGACAAAAAAAAAAAAAAACATTCTAGATACATGAAAGAATAATAAAAAATAGAACAATATAAAGTAGAACCCAACCCAAAAAAAAAAAAAAAAGAAAACTATCAACCTTAGGATCCTTAAGGGGTCCTTTTATTTTGTTTTTCTAAAAAAAACAAAACTTACACCTATAGAAGCTACACGATGCCATATGTTTTTTTTTTATGTAGTACCCTTGTCATATGCTTGCCTTTTCAAAGCTGTGCTAATAATGGTAAAAAATAATGTAAGAAGAAGTTTTAATAAAAAATACAATAAAGTATTCTATTTTTCAATATTCGTCCAATCACTCATCTAAGCTTTCCTCGCAATCAGACAACTCTTTCCTCATTGGTAATCTCAATCACTTACTTAAAACAATCGAATCCATACAATAAAATCCCCAACCTAAAGTCCTAATTGCACATCCAAAAACGCAAATCCCAAATTTTTAAAATATTTATTTTTTCATAATTAAAACTTCAAATCAACCCAACAATAATGAATATCCCTACTAATAAATGCATCATTCAAATTTTCAAAAACACTACAAAACTATTTAATAAAAACACCAAAATCCCTCAAACAATCATTATCTATTTCTACATAAAAAATCACATAAACAATTTAAGTCTCTATAAATTGAATAGAATAAAATTACCAAATTAGACCTAACGAAAATGAAGCTTTCACGGTTTAGCAATGTATCGACTATCAGATTGAGGATTCATGGGTCCTAAGCATAGTCATGCATGAGCTAGTTCAAGGAGACGACAAGATTTAAAGCACGAAAGGGGTTTAAAATGAAAAAAAGGCTTTATTTATTACGGTGGGAAGAGACGTGAGGAAATGAATAAGGGAGTAAAGAATGAAACCTAAGTGATTGAAAGAGAAAGAAGGAAAGAAATGAGAATTTAAAGAGGAAATGAAAGGGGAAAGAGAAGAAAAAAAGCTTCGAAGAAAGAAAGAAAGCTTCCAAGATGTTAGGAAATTTCAAGCATGTTAGGCTATTTTTTAACAAAAAATAATTAAAAAAAACTATTAATGGATTGGACTAGAATAACCATCAAGTCCAATGGTAATAAACAAATCACAAAATCCATAACCTATTGAAAAATTGTTGATAAAAGAAAAAAATAGATGTTTTGCGTAAAATCCATAAGGGATTTTTTTATTTATAATATTATAGATATGTAGTATAGATTAAAGGTGCACATTGTGATATAGTTTTTTTATGGTACAAGGTGATTTTTTTTAAATCTAGGGTGATTTAATAATTGTGATTATATTATTATGTTTGATAATAATTTGAACATTTTTGTGATAATTATGTTTGATAATCGAGCGTAATGAAATCATTATTTGAATTAAATTTCTTAGAAAGGAAAATTTCCCCTATTTACTATGATGATGAAGAATCAAATCATTACTATATTTATTCATTTTTTTACTTTTTCCAAATGTAGGATAACTTTAAGAGAGTATTTGATTTGTGAATTTTTAGATTTAGAAAGAGAAAGTGGTTTCGGAAAAAAGTGATATTGAAAAAGAATAAGTGATTCTTATATTTTGTTGACAAAAAAAAAAAGCAAAATTTTTATGTTTGGTTAGAAGAATGTAAGATTACCTAACAAAATTTTTTATTATATTGTCCTTAATGACACGTGAATAACATATGATATTTATAACATGTAACACGTGAATAAACAAGTGATTTGTTTAATTTTTTATTTATTTAACATGTAAATTATTTTTAAAATTTTTTTGTTAAATTATTTAAGTAAAAGTATTTTTAGGTTTTATTACTCATATAATATATGTAATAATTAATTTTAAATGCAATAATAAAATTTCATATTTTTCATAAAAGATTATGTTTTTAATTTTAAAAACATTGTCTTCGTTAAAATTTAAGAATTTCAAAAAATAATTTTTTTTCATGTTTTCAACAAAAATTGTGTTTTTTTACTTTAAAAATATCATTTTTGTTAAATTCTAAAAAAAATAATTTTTTTTTATATTTTCAACAAACATCATGATTTTTATCTTAAAAACACTATTTTGGTTAAATTCTAAAAAATAAATCTTTTCATATTTTCAATAAAGATCATGTTTTATCTTAAAATGTTATCTTTGTTTAATTTTGAAAATTAAATAAAAAGTAACATATTAAATTATTATGATTCTAGGATAAATAATATTATTTATGTAATCTGAAAATGTAATTAAGTAAGAATAATAGGACAAAAATTTTACGTTTCATTTGAAATTTACAAAAGAAAAAAACTTTATGAAAATTTTAATTTTTCATTATCCTACTTTCCTCCTTTTTTTGATACTATTGAAATCGTAAAATTCCTAACATGGGACAAAGTTTCGAAACCAAACTAAAATATTCGATTTCGTGAGAAAAAAAAATGATTTTAAAGATAAGTAATCCTAACCAAATATATCTTAAGGGATTGCGGGTTCTTTTCTACCAATTATTGCTTTCCCTTCACCACCTCATGGGATGGACTACAAGGTTCATGATTATTCCTCTTAGTGCATTACATTTATCCGGCCAACATTTAGGTAGGATTCTACCCAAACTCTTTTCATTCATCTAACATTCCTCACTTGTCTGATTATTGCTAAGCAGTTTCTGGGAATCCAACTCCTCATAAAGTAATTTTAAATGTGACCTTCAAAATTATTTTAGAACATCCTTGATGTAACTCATCAAAATATATTTTTCTTCAAATTTGACATTTTAATATTTTATTTATACTAGACAGCTTATGACCCTTAATTATGAACATTTCAATAACTTTGAATTATATTCATCAAAATTGGTTCATATCTTATAATTTTTTTTATAAAATAATGAATTTTTATTTCATAAATTGTTCATTCCTGAAAATTGAAATTGTTGCTTTGTTTTAAATAATCTTATCATTAATAATAAAATTATTTAATTTTGGATGTTTTTATATATGGTGATACATCTTTTTATATAATACGAAACAAAATGATGTAAGATCACTAATAATTTATAATATTATACTAAATATGATAACATAATATTACTAATATCAAATCACTTTAATAATTAGATCACCACAATAATCTTTAAATAATAACAAATGCTAGTTAAATCCTAGATTATTTGAACATGTGGATCAATGTCTACAAAGCAACCATCACTTTAATAATTAGATCACCACAATAATCTTAAAATAATAACAAATGCTAGTTAAATCCTAAATTATTTGAACATGTGGATCAATGTCCACAAAGCAACCAATATTCATGAAGCATGTATTTACAATACAAGTTCACACAAAGGGTTAAGTTCTATCATAATGGTAACATGTACCTATATTACACTGTTTTTGTATACATGGTAGAATTTAATACCGGTTGCGTTTAAGCTGCTTCAGCAAACCCAACTGTCATTTTCTCGTAGTTGAATACCGTGTGATAGCGACCCATGAAAACATCTCCCAAAATCCTGTATCAAGCAAGCAGAACCGGCAGGAAATCTTAGCTCTATAAAATCTATTGTCTACTACTCTTTCCATGGTACTGGCAAGCAAGACTAAGAGACCAATAATCAATAGGTTTGCTTTTGCAGATCGTTCATAACAGACGATGATGGAAAAATTAAAAAAAAAAAAAAAGAGGTACCAGAGAGGTCCACGTGGTGGGGGCACGTCCAAAGCAATAAATCCACTGATGCATTGAGCTATAGCTCCCTCTCCCACTTTAAGAACATACTGATGCACAAGACCGCCAAGCATAAAGATATGAAGGAGGGTAGGATAAAAAGGAAAAACGGAAAGCAGAAATTAGCTTAATGAGAAAAGAAACCAACAATGCAGCCAACAGCCTTGTAATCTTTTGGTATAGTGACCAATGTTAAATCTTGACAGCCTCAATTATCAAAAAAATTATACTTATACTTTTAATTATATTTGATTATTTATTGCCATCCATACCATCCAAGGTCAAGAGAAAAACAAAATTATACTTCCAATCCTATTCACATGTGATCAATTAACTGCATGAAAAGCCAAAAGCTATCAACCATATGAAACCAAAACACTTTTGAAAGAGTCAAAAAACCATACCTCCTCAGGTGCAAGGTCAAATACTTTACCACCAATAGTAAATGAAACACTAGGCATGGAAGAAAGACTGCTACAATCAACTGCCGATTCTCCACTTGGACTGGGCAGTCTTTCACAAAGCTGCAGTTACAACAGAAGAAAAATAAGCATACCGTAAGGTTATTGTCCAAGATGGATAAGAATTAACTCACATTGTTCACATAATCCAGGATCTGCTCTTCTGTCTCATTTCTCCTGAGCTGATTTTGCATCCAGACAACAGCCATCTCACAAGCAGTACACATAGCATCATGGACACCATCAGATGATTTGCCCGTGCTCTCTTCTGCTACGCTCTCAATTCTTGCACTGTACATATATTAATTGGTTAAGTCTTAGATGGGCGAACATTTATTTTGTGGTTCTAACATTTTTAATGGTAGTAGCAATAAGAAGGCAGGTTGGATCCGACCTGACACCTCGAGTCCCATCAAAAGTACATAAACCAATTTGAGAGCAGATCTTTTGAGGTTTTGTCTATAAAATATAGAAAATCAAAGAAGCTATCAGTTTCTTGCCAGGAGTTTCAACCAGCAAGAATAAAATTGATCTGTAAAATGTATCTTATTTCAAAGCAGTTTAATTAACTCAATCTCAAGGATTTTGAATTGGCTGCAAAGGATAGACAGTAGGGGAAAAAGTTTCATTTCTCTTCAAGAGAAGAGTGAGGTGTGGCACAAAATTGCAAAAAGGAAAGGAGTAACCACTGACCTCAGACACCAGCATATCCAGAATGGTTTTTCCATATTGTGAAACCATTGCCTTGCATTGTTGGCTAACAACACCAGAAGCCCCAATGGCATGATTAATTTGAGTAATGATAGTCTGAACATGTGGAAATGATATGATAATATCAATTAAAATCTGCTATTTCACAACACCTGATGATAGTAACATTATAGTGAGAAAAAGCTATTCTAAGCAACAGAAGATGAATTTCAACCAGATAACAGGTTTACATGGTAAGACAGGTAAAATTTGATGGATTTGTATCATTTCCTAGCAAAATACTTGAAGCTTAACAAAACCTTAAAAACATCCAAATCATCTAAACTCAAACGAGAGAAAGGCAAGGGTAATGCAGGAAGTTCAAAGCCTGCATGTTGCTTTTGTTAAGATAGTCCCATTTTGAATAAAATATATATATATATATATATTGGTTTTTTTGGGGTGGAGGAGGAAAATGGTTTGTCTATTTCTAGAAAAATACTTAAATGTGCCAAATTTACAAATCATAAAACATTGTCAACTCTATATCATACAAGTATGAGGACCCTGTGCCATAATCCACACATTACTCAAGCAAAGCCTTTCAGCATCATAGTAACACTGCTTCCAAAAGGAAACATACATGGTTGCCAAATGAAAATGATCAAGCAATGCATAGAAACAAAGCTGAAAGTTGATCCAGACCAAAAAAAAAAAAAAAACCATTCCCAACCTGCTCGAACCCGAACTCTACCCAACCCAAAGATTAGAAAAGTCAACAACCCGATCCCACCCAACCCAAACCTGAAATGACACGATTTTGAACTAACCTTAAATTGATTTGACATTGAAACTCCATGATTTAGACCTAAAATGACCCAAACCCAAGTGATCCAAGTGTCAAACCCAAACAACACAGACCCAAAATGACTCCAACTCGAAACTCGAGCCCAACCCATCCATTTGCTACCTTTACTAGAAATCATACGCATTTACTTTTCAAGAGTACACTGCTGTCAAATTATATCTAATTCATATACTCAGTTTACTTTAGAATTTCTCCTCCTTTAGAAGAAAAAGATTAGAAATTTGAAAAATAAGTTTTCTTTACCGTAGGGCCTGCCAGCAAAGAAGTTCCAGAATCAGCAATTGCTGCACAGCCACTGGAACAGAATCCTGAAAAAGGCATGCTCATGTCTCAATACCATATGCAATAAAATTGGCTAAGCCCATTGAGATTAATATATATGTCCACAAAGAAGGATTCAAATTTAAAACACGACATGTGTGGTTACCAGTTGTTTCACCTCCAATCAGAACATCACCCATGTCAAACTGCAAGTAGGCAAAAGAGACAAGCAAATCAGAAAAGAAATGAAGTTATCTCAACAATTCTAGAAACCAATGGTGTAACCTGTTGCATCTCAAACCTGCCAATAGCCTTTCTGAGTCACCGGAACATGTGTGTGCTCCCCTTTATAATGATTAGGATCAGTCCCGCCAAACACAATTTCTCCTCCTTCTTCACCTTCAATATTGCGGTTCAACCAAAATGAAAAAACTGGTTCCTTAACAAGGCCTTGGTTAACCATATTGTACCTACAAGTAGTGCATGTATATTGACTAAGAAAAGAATTATAGGAAACGACAAAAACAATGTCAACCATAGACAAGATGTTATTAACAACTTTGAGCAATTTGAAGCAGCTAGTCTGTGAATTTCAAATTGCAATGAAGTAATTCCTAGAATGTTGATGGCTAGACACAAAATAATACCAGACTGGCATAGCACCCCCAACAGAGATTTCTTGAAATCCAAGGCCAAATATGCCATCGAACTTGGCAGCCAAGAATGTGATACCAGGCTCTCTGGTTGCCTCAATAAAATCCTGGAATGAATGAAATTAATTAAGGGAATTTTAAAAAAGTACTGAACTAAAGACTACGACAATGAAATAACACTCAGATTACCTGATTCTTCACAACAAGATCACCAACTTTGACAGCATCCTGGCTGAAGAAACCTGAAATTGCTCCAGTTCCATAATGGATCTCAGCAGATGTCCCTGTATTAAAAATGAAAGCACAACTATTTCAAGAGTCAATATGTGTTAGAATGGCTCGGGGATTGAGGAGTTGAAACCACCGTTTCTGTTTTTTCTTGAAGTTAATTTAACATAAAAGATGGCCTAAATAATGATTTAAGGATGAATAGAAAATTATTTCAAGCTTTTAGATTTGGAACTCTCAGCTTGTTGGGCTCTTTTAGCTGTAAGTCTATTTTATTTATATAGAACAAGCACTATTCATGATAAAAAGATCATGTCTAAAGTTGTCATTAACGTGCACATGAATCAATATTACATACAATATATAAGGTGAACAAAATTGCTCATGAGTTGTCAGAACCCACTACAATTTGAACTCTTTTAATATCATTTTACAAGATAACTGAGTTTGAATCAAACTTATGAGTATTTGATTAAACTTAAATATAAATTTCTCAGCTTATTAAGCAAGCAAAGAAAACTGATTGAAATTTTGCAAACAAATCTTAAGAGCTTTAGTTGAATTAGAAAAAATTATAACAAGCTTTAACAGGTTATTCATAATAATTCTCACATTTACTAATAATATATGATAATTCTAATCAGGAAACGTAGAAATTTTTTGTGAGTCTATTAGCAACTTCTAAATCAGGAAACATAGAAATTTTTTGTGAGATTTTAGGGTTTTAGTAATGATTAACCAGTTCAAGTTTGAACTCATACACAAGCTTGGAAATATGCTATTAAACTAGTTAAAGAAAATGAGAATAACCTTCAAAGTTCAGAATGATCTTCACCTCAACCAATTTAATAAATTACTTAAGCACGACTTGAGATTTTCTTAAAAAACCAAACTCAATCTCACAAGTTTGAGCTCAATAAGAGTTCCAACTCCATAAAAATTTAAACAAATGAATTTGAACAGGGATTGCTTGGATAATTTCATTTGCAATCCTAACAATATAAAGAAACATACCATTCTTTTTGTAGGTACTAGACTGACTAGACTTGTACTTGGAGTGCAAATAACAAGCAACCTGCATCCAAATACAAAACCAGATGTTTTCTTATTCTCAGCTGCTCAGCATAAAATTTCCTGAGTAAAGATGGTAAAAAAGGCTCATTCCCATGCAAAATATATATTAAAAGAGAAAAGCAAGGTTAGGAACTTACAGAGAAATAACACTTTGATGAGGGCACCCAAAGATTGGAACTTCCTGTATCAAATACCACAGTGAAAGTCTGTGAAGGGGTTCCAACACCAATCTCTCCAAAATACTGGGCATCCATGTAGTTCTTTAGTGCAACAATTTCAGAGTCATCAGATGCCCCAAGATTTCCTAGGAGATAATACTCCCTTAAAGCAGCCCTCGACAGTTTCCCTTCCTTAAAGTCATTGTGTCCAGCAACCCTGTTGATTTGATCCACTTTCATCTTTTTCAACCCAATCCTAACCAATCCATCAGTTGGCACAGAAAACACTGCAGGGAAGAGGAGTAAAAGGAGAAGCGTAACACGAATAGCTTTGAATTTGGCACCCATTTTTCACTGCTGCAAAGCACAAAATCAAATCAGCTCCAACTTAGAGGTAACTCACATGATATACCATATTCTCAGCCGCTGAGAACATTTTTGTTGGGTGAGAATCCAAGGATTTGTCCTTAATCTCATAAATTAAACGTCTAGTGAGGAGTGCCTATGGTACAAGGTTGGATTTTGCTTAATGAAACTTTGATCAATCTCTAAAATTGCTTTTGTGGCCTTTACCTATCAATGATCATATGAATTTACTCCACTTGATTCTTACTAAAATTTTAACTTCTGTGACTGTGAAAGAGAAAATACATGATTTTACTTTGATAAAAGAACAATTATATTGAAATTCATTATTAATTCCTAAATTTCACAATTATTTTTTTCTCCTTTTTTTAAATTTTCAGCAATTTTAAAAAATTCAAAAACAAAGTAACAAAAGTCAACAACTACAACATAACATACCCGAACCAAAAAACAGCCTTAAAATTTTCTCATTTATCTCAGATTATGCAAAAGAAAAAGTTTTTTTTTTCTTTCAAAATTCCTCTTTTTTCTCACACTTTCCGGACAATCAAACAGAAACACTACAAAGTTCAATAATAATATCAGAAATTACTAAAAAATTTAATTTGCATAAGATTTTCCGAAAAGAAAATCTAAAAAAAATACTTATATAGTTAAAAAGAAACAATAACGTACCAGGAAATCGATGCTGAGACGAAAGACAAAAAGGAAGACAAAGACCGAGGAATGAGGATGCGAAGAAGACGGAGGAGCTAAGAACAGAATCTTGTTTTTCGAGAGCATCAAGGAGTAAGTGTTATCTGCGTCTCAACCGTTGATCTGATTTGGTGTTTTTAATCCACGGTTTTAAATGTTTCCACTTTTCAGTAGACCCCACTTAGGGTGACGTGGCTATTTCTTGTTGGGTGCATGGGGTATCCGAGTTCACACCTGTTGGTGTTCGTTGCTCAACTACCAGTCCACTGAAAAGAGTCTTGATCGAACTTTGAATTTCAGCCGTTGATCTCTTCTTTCAACGGTGACTTGACAAGATTAGGATAAACCTGATAATTTATATTATTTTATCGTGTAAAATATTATATTTATATTATATTTTATACAAAAATTATATATCATAATTTATATTAATATAAAAATATAAAATATAATTTTTTAATTTTATTAAATTTATTTATAATTTTTTAAAATTTTAAATGATCTTACTTTTATAATTTTTATTTCTATTATTTTTATACCATATTACCATATCATATTTTAAAATTTTAAATATAGATTTTGAGATAAATCAGGCTCTCTCTCCCTACCAAAAGTGAAAATAAGCCGGTTCCAATCAATTTATTAAATTCAGTTAAGCTGAGTCGATTCAAAGTGTTTCATTTTAATAACGATCGATTAAATAAAATGGTTTAATTGATTAATTTAGTTTTCAAAATTAATAAATTAATTGATTAAATTAATTAATTATTTTAAATAATTTTTAAATAATTGTATAATGTAAATAATATATAAATATTTCATTTAATTTATAAGAATGACAAACATAACATTCGTAATAAAATTATAAGATGAATTTTATTAGATAAAAATTATTGTAAGTTTATTGTTAAAAAATTGTATTAAAAGAATAATGAAAATTTTGAATTTTGACTGAACCATCAACCTATTTTAATTTGATTTTTTAATTATTAAAAATAAATCAAATTGATTTCATTTTTTGAACGTTAAATTCTTAAATTATAATAAAATATTTAATGTGATATTTAAATTTTAAAAATTTTTAATATGATATTTAAATTATAAATTTATTAATTAATATAATATTTATTCTTAATATGACTAATTTTAAATAATAACATATTATAAATAAATAATTTTTTAAATATCATATTATTAATAAATTCATAATTTAATTATCAAATTAAATATTTTTAAAATTTTGATATTATATTAAATATTTTATTATAATTTAAGAATCAATCATTAGATCTAACGATTTATGTTATGTAAAATATTAAAATTTATATATTTGTATCGTATTTTATATAAAAATTATATGTTAATATAAAAAATTAAAATATATATTTATTTTATTAAATTTATATATAATAATTATTAAAATTTTAACTATATTGCTTTTATATTCTCTTTCTATCATATTCATAAATCACTTATTTTTCAATAACTAACCGATCAAATTAAGGATCACTCACTTTACTCTCACTTGCGGCTGTACGGAGCCAACATTTAGCAGGGTTTTGGACACCTCTTCCATTTTGGGTTGGGCTTAAAAAATAATTTATTTTAATATTTATTTATTTTTTATTATATTATGATATAAAAAATATTATGAAAAATATTTTGTACACATGTTTAAAGAATAAATCTTGACATTCAATTAGTTAAGATTTATCTTTTTCAATAAAAAGATATTGAATTCGAATCTTGTTATTGATTATTTGTTAAAATTATTTCGAATGTATAATTTATAATAATTTATCTTAAATTATTAAATACGATATATTTTATTTTAATTTGAGGGATTAAACAATCTATTTATCTCAAATTTTTTTTCTATAAAAAAAAATCTTTTTTATTGTAAATATAAATTTCAAGCTTTATAAATTGTAATCGAGATAATGCAAAAGTAAAAAATGCAGACCCCACCTAAGTTCTATTTTTCTCTTAGCAAGATAGGCTCGCTGAAAATATATTTCCTTAAACAGTATCATAAGCGTGGCCCAACTCCGTCCACTCAGAATACATGTGCATGTATCTTTCTTCAAACTGGGTAATTATCTTTTTAGAGTCGCCTTGTCCATGTTAAGTTCATAGCCAATATAATGGGCCGACATATAAAAGCCCAAACAAGTTTATTTATTAAATATTCAAATTTCCAGCACCTTTAAACAATTTTTTTATATAAAAAATACAGTAATGTGAAAATAAAATAAAAGATTACAAATAGAATTAGTAATTCATGTATATTTTTTGTTAAATATATATAAAATATAAAAATTATCATATTATAATTTGTGTTGATATATGAAATATGAAATTTTTTTTAAATTTTTTTAATTTAATACTATTTTTACTAAAATTTTAAATTATATTAAATTTTTATAATCTTATTCGTACTATTTTCTCTTTGCATTGACTTATCATTTTTAAAATTGTCAAGACAAGTAGCAAGTTGTCTTTGTCTTTCATTGTTTTTTTCGTATAATGTTGGATCATATGCAAAATTCAGGAGGCAAACGCCTTCCATTTGGTTAAATTTCAACTTTTCTTTTACAAGATTTGAGAAATTAAAAGTTTTTTATTCTTTGCAGCTGAGATATTAATACCAACTATACTTTTTTATTTTATAAAAATATATTACATTTTAAATATTTCTATGAAAATGTTAATTATTTAAAGAAAGAAAAATATAATGAATGTGCTACTTTTCTTGAATCTAATAAAAATAATGTAAAATTTATTCTTAAATAATATTTAACTATGTTTAAACCACACCTATAGCCACCCATTAATCGGACTCATGTCATAAATATACCAAATTTGGTTACAATCTAGATATCTCTAAAATGATTCTAATCTATAACGTTATATTTGAATAAATATTAATAAAGTAAAGGAAAAGAAAATAAAGTTTTTTAAAGGAAAAAAAAAGATACATGTAACCCCTGTTTAGATAATTAAAATTAATAAAGAAAAAGAATTCGAACAACTATTGTTTAGATAAAAGTAAAAAGGAAAAGAAATTATTTATTATAATAATTTTTTTTAATTATAATCTGTTATTGCTTATGATTTTAAAGTACTCTTGAATCATGATATGTTTGTTATCTTATTTGACTTCACAATTGCTATTATATAGTGATTTTTATATTGGAAGGTATATGTGAAACTTAATTAAAAAAAGATATGGCTTTGAAAAAATTGCAACATGATTGTGATCTGCTTATGTTTTTTTATTGGATTTTTAGTATTAATAAAAAATAGATATAATAGTCTTTTTATCAAAAAAAATTTTCAACTTTCCTTTCTATAGCTTTTCCTTCAAATTGAGGTATTAAAAAAATTAAATTTACAGAAAAAATCAAAAGTTATTTGGTTTTCATCTCTTTTTCTTTTTTTAAATAAAAAATTTATCCAAACAAAAAAATGAGTTTTGTTTCATTTACTTTCCTTTACTTTACTTTACTTTCATGTCCTTTTCCTCCCCTTAATCCAAACACACTGTAAAGCTCTTGTGCTAAGTTTTGGTAGGGTTATAAGCCAAAGTAGTCAGTATCATATTTGGTGGAATATCAGTGTAACGTTTTGGGTTTATCAATATTATCTAATATTTTATCTATAAAATATATATATAGACAAATAAATATACTTCAATTACTTACATTTATACGTTTAAATCCTGGGATTTTAGGTTTATTTTTTTAATAATAATGGCATTAAATTCATTGCTTTAAACCAGCTTTATCATGTTTTACAACATCAATGATGGCATGAGGACACTCTTCCACCCAATATATAGTTTCACTCTGGTCTAATGCTAATTTTGCTAACTTATGGGCTTCCATGTTTGCTTCTTGAAACACATGTCTGCATCTTTATGAATCAAAGATCTTCAATCGTAGTTGAATCTCCTTTATCAGTACACCCACAGTAGATGTATTTTTGTCATATTTCCGCACCTATCCAATAAACCCCAGTGCATCCCCTTTAGATTCAACCCCGTGAAAGCCTAGGTCATTCGCCAACTTTGAAACAAGAATTTTGCGATAGAGCCAAAATCTAGCCTAAAATTTCTATAAGAAAGGAATCAATCAGAATAACAAACAGAGCAATAAACTCCTAAAAAACATGAAAATTACTCCTACATTATTTTCTATATTGACTAATTCAATCTCAAATCTCCAACACTCCCCCTCAATCTTAGGAATAAATATTCTTCATTCCAAGCTTGCTAAGAATACTTATTATTGAATTTATATTATTATAGTATTATCTTATTACTGACTATTGACTTATTATTGAATTTATATTATTATAGTATTATCTTATTATTGACTATTGACTTTTTATTGATATTACTTGGCTTCAGCATGTTTTTGGTGAGTACATATGCTTCCTATGAATGAGTGGGAATGTAGCATAGGTTGATGCCACATTCTTCAATCTCTCACTTGATAAAGCTTTGATCGATTCTAAAATGCTTCATCCGATCATGTTGAACAAGATTGTTCACAATGCTTATGGTTGATTTACTATAACTGTACAGTTAGTAGGAGATGAAATTGGCATTTGTAAATCTTCTATCAACCTCTCTAGCCATATCACTTCGCAGATTCCCTGTGCAATTGCTCGAAATTCTGCCTCGACACTACTTATAGCAACTGCCAATTGCTTTTTGCTTCTTCAAGTAACCAGATTACCCCATAACTTTGTACAATACCCTAAAGTCGACTTGCAGTCTTCACTTCTAGCCCAATCTGCGTCGGCATCGCCCCCTATATTCCTCTTATCACATTTTTGAAATATAAGTCCCTTTCTAGAAGAGCCCTTGAGATACCTTAGTATATGATTTACTGCCTTCATGTGTCTCATAATTAAAGAGTGCATAAACTGACTTACCACACTCATAACATATGCAATATCCGACTTTGTGAAAGACAAAAAGGTTGGCTTTCCAACTAGGCATTGATATTTTCCTCTATCCATGGTTGGCTCGTCGTCACTAATTTTTCCTTTCCAGTTTTTCTCAAGTGGAGTACTGACGGCTTTACATCCTAGCTTTCAGTTTTCCTTTTCAGATCCAGAATGTATTTT